GGAAGAGAGCCATCTAGCTTTGGGCTTTCATGGAGACTTATGCCAGTCACCTGTCTGCCCAGGTGCCAGTTCCGACGTGAGTGCCCTGTCTCTCACCAACTGGCCTCAGAGGCTAATTAGGATAGAGATGGACCTGGAAGAGGGACCACCATCTTTCTTCGGCTGGGCCAAAGCCGACACTCAGTGGGCCAGACCCAGCCTGCTCCAGTCACGACTGTTGAAGACAGCTCTGCTGCAAGAGTTTGCACCCGGCTTGGGCAGCCCGTCGCGCCTTTGTCCGTGCCCGCGGGGCAGCCCTGGAGCTATAGGAACAGGGGTGGGGAGTCCACCTGGGCCCCTGTAAAAAGAGCATTTTCTGGGCCACGGTGGAGACGTAGAGGAGACAAACCGAGACTTCAAGAGAAAGAGAGAAACCCGGGGGGGGGGGGGGGGGGGCTGGAGGGAACCTAGAGGGTTTGAGAAAGGCGAGAGCGCAGTAATAGACAGCGACCTGGAGGCTGGGATGAAGGGTGGGGGAGTGCCTCGAGCCACGAGCTACAGCAGGGAGCTGGCTGGAGCTGGCAAGGCCGGGGTGGCCTGGAGAGCCGGACGGCCGGCCGGCCGCCGAAGGCAACACAGGAGCAGCAGAAGGCTTCTCAGCGTAGAGCCAGGGGCCAATCTCCAGTCGCAGGGCCAGAATGCACAAGGCTGGGCCCAGGTGGGGCTTCCGGACACAGATCCGCCGCATTCTTCGCTTTCTGCGCCACCCCACCCCCCCAACCCTCAGGCTCATTCCAGTCGATCGATACCTGTGCGGGACTTGCCCCTCCCCACCCCCCGCCACTAATATCTTTTTAATGAGTTCTCAGGGCTTAAAGCCAGCGCGATCTGCCCTCCAGGGTGGATTTTCCCCCGGCAGATGTTTTGGGAGGAGGCGGTGCTCCGAGGCCCCCCGGGCGTGGGGGGGGTGGAGGCGACGACAATCTCTCCCTGCGAGGGGCAAGGGCAGAAGACTTCTAAAGTTCAAAACAGGAGCTTTCTCTCGGGGCCCCCCAAAATGTATTTCTCTGCAAACAATGGGCTTCTTTTCTCCTAGGGCCTCTGGGACGGGAGGGGCGGGGACCCATCGAGTCGGCCCCGCCTGACCGCCTCGCGCCCTGGGCACAAGGACCGGGACGCCAGGCGCTGGCGCGGAAGCTGTAACTCGGCCTACGCTGCCTTGGTCCCGATGCAAAGAGCTGACCCAATCTGGGTGTTCAGGAGCAAAACCCAGTCTCACCAAGAGGAACCGAGGTGCCCTTCGGGCTGAACCAAAGCGGTGGATTGCTCCCCGCGCTACTGATCTCGCGGTTGCGAAAGCTGAACCCGAAGGGATGCGTGCGGGTTACTGGAGGGGACGCGGGACTCGTATGCCGGCTCGCACCACCGCCTTGGTCCCCCGGGCTCTCTGCCAGAGGCAACAAGTGGAATTAGCCGGGTCCTGCCGGCTGCTGGGTCCTGAGACCCTCTTGATGCACCTTGGGTCAATCACCTCTTCTGATGGTTCCCACCCGATCCTGCCCCGTTTTTTCCACACCCCACTTGGGGTCCCTTCGCTCTTGGGTCTGTTGGCCGGCTGCTGCCTCTCTTGTCCCCACTCCCGAGGACTTGGGGGTGGGGCACGGGCGACAGGGATGACCTCCGAAGAGCCGCGGCCGATTGATTCGTTCCGCCCGAAGCCTGGGCCGAGTGAATGGGGCTCGGGCGGCAGCGGCGGCCCGGCAGCGCGGGGATAAAGATGTTGTCCCTGAAAAGGGGGTGGGGGTGGATGAGGAGCGGGAAGCAGGGCCATTCACTCCTGGCCCGGCCCCTCGGGAAGCCTCTGCGAAGAAAGAGGGCCAGGGTCTATTCAAGTCCTACGAGCCGCCCACAATGGGCCGATATACTGGGGGCCTCTCTATTAACGCCCATGAATATTAAAGAGATCGCCGAGCGACAGTCCGTGGGCGCGATCGAGGGGGCGGGGGCGGCGCCTTAGAGCTCCGACCCTGCCGAGTCCAGGGGATGGGTCTTCACGCAATCACACTCAGCGCCTGGGTCCCAGTTATTCATCCACTGTGAACTCTCAGCGTTTCCCCCTCGAAGTCTCCACGCAAGCAGATGCAAGCTCAGGGCTTTGCTCTCCGATCCGGGTGGGCTATCTTCCCTACAGGTTTTGATATGGGGAGAGCATGGGACCAGATGGTACTATTACTTAGCCAGAAGCTCAGAACTACAGCGACTATGTCCCAGGTCCGCAGGCGCCCCAGCTAGGAGGTTGCTTTGGTTCCTGTCCTCCCTCCATCAATATTCTCCCCAGGTTCTGGGGATTCCTAAGGAAAGTAATGGGGAGCCCTGTTCGTAGCCTAAGCCTTCGGTCCTTTTGTCTTTTGACTTCGATCTTGGGACTGGAACGTGAATTCGCCCCAGGCATGGAGGTCTCTGGTCCCGGGAGCTTTTCACGTAGAGTGTGCCGAGGGAATTGTTAAAAATCCTCTGTAGCTCCGGGGAAAGCCACCGGAATCGAAAGGTGACGAGTTGGAAGGAAACTTCAGCACATAGTCCAACTCAAACCACTGCCGACAGGAACCTAGAGGCCCAGAGAAGAGAAGGGTTGTCCCCAGGATGGTCTGCTGTCCTCAGTTCCCTTCAGTTTCCTTCCAGCGCTGAGGTAGTCTCCGGAGTTGGAAGCTGAGCACCCAGACCTGGCATTCTTCTGCCCAGTCAGCCTCCTCTCCACCTAGGCTTCACAGAAGCCAAGATCCAGGCGCCGGTCAGGTTCCCTTGCCCCCGAGACATTGGATTCCATTCTCCCTGTCAGGCTGGAACCCTCCGCGAACCGTTTTAACTCACCGGCGGCATCTGCAAGAAACCCCAGCCCACCGGCAGCACTTGCTCCTCTGCAGCGCTGCCCTCTGCTGGCGCCCTGCCCGTTGGTCCCTCTCCCTGCCCGGTACACCCACTCTCCTCTAGGCTCCGGGGATTCAGCGTCTGAAGATATTCTGTCGCCGCCTTGGTGCTCTAGTCTCCCGCCTGCCGGGCTGAGGACGCCAGAGACCACTGGCTCCAACTAGGGGTTATGGAGACCTGGGATCCCATGTTTGCCAGGATCCAGGCAGGCTTAGCGCTGGCTGGCAAGCTGATGGTGGAAAGGGTTCTTTTCCTGGGGTTATTAGGATCCTGCCAAGGTGAGGTTCAAGTCCTAGTCCTGCGCTGGCAGCACGACCCACGCCCAAGTCCCAGGGAGTCGAAGGCCTGAAGAGTCTTAGTTATCCAGTGGAGACCTAACACAAGAGCTCACCCTAGCCTGTAGGCTGCGGAACTTTTCATAGCGCCATATAAAATTGCAGCGGCGGATGGGGGGGGGGGAGTCTGAGGACTTGTGCTATTGGGGGAAGTGTCCCCAGTGCCCCTCCAATGTGGTTGTTTCTGGAGCTGGAAGGGGGAATCTTGAGGCTATCCAGGAGGCTTCAATCCACGCAGGAAGCCGCGGTCTTCCCGACTTAGCAACCTTGGAAGAGGTGTGGAACTGGCTCCCAGGTGCCTTGGAAAGACTCTATAGAACCCGCTGTTGGGGCAAGGTGGGTAGCGGGAGGAGAGGAAGAAAGAGAAGGGAACCAGGAAAGAAAGAACGATCGTTCATTCGAAGACTAAAAGGAAAGAGAAACGCCTGGCAGTTTTCTAGGATCCCAGATCCCAGTAGCTGGATTCAAAAGCGGAGTCCAGCAGATGGGTTTGCCCCGGGGCTGCCTACAATTTCCGAGGCATTGGTTTTGGGTCCCTGCAATTCCCACCTTACACTCATCCAGAGTATCTCACAAATGCGAGTATCTGATGGCAAGCGTGGAAGTGGGTCAGCCTTCACAATCCTCCAGCCCAACCTAGTACTCCTAGTGCTAGGAGCCATCCTAGGTGAGATCCAGCCCCGACGGCACGCGGGTGGTTCCGCCTCACCAGCCCTCTGCACCGGCTGCACTCCACCAGCAGAGCTCTCGAGGAGCCCCGTTTGAAGCGAAGCCAAAGTCGGAGTGGGTAGCTCTGCCAGCGCAGGAGATATGCATTGCTGTGGCAGCCTAGGACTTGAAGTCTCTAAGAGAGCAGGGCCCAGGGGTGGGGGCGAGGGAGAGAGGAAAACCCGACCGGATACTGGGCTTGGTCAAGGAGAACAGCAAGCTGCCCGCAGCCCAGGGAGTGGCCCGCAGTGTTAGGAAGGTGAAAGCCTGGCGGGGACCGTAGTGACCAAGGATCTTACTGGGACAGGTGGGCGCGGGGGCACTCTGGACTCGCAGTCATGAGTCCCCTCTTACTCAGTCTAGTCCCAGGAGTATGGGAGAGCCTCGCTGTGTCGCAGCCCCTTCTCCAACCCCTCCTCTCCCGGCCGCGGGCTGATCCTCCCTCCCTGCCTGGAGCTTCCCACGGGGAGAAGAGGAGGAGGGGAGGAGGGAGGAGCAGAGGGAGACTATTCTAAGCGGTCTGCGCTGCCCCCGCCCCTCGAGCTGTCGGTGAAGGCTCCTTCGAGCCTGGCCGGGTACAAGTCTGTCCTTCGACGTCAGGGGGTCATTAATAACCAATTAGGAGGGTCACTGCGGCTCCTATAAAGGAGCTGAGATTTTGCTAAGGGGAGGACGGTCCTGACTGGATGTGCAGGAAGGCGAGTGGGCAACCGAGAGTCCTTGGTCGGTGTTTCTCGGCAGTCACTCACCTCCCACCCATCCCGCACCCCTCCTGGTACCCGCCCCCGTCTCCACCCGCGGATTTCCAGCCCTTTACCATCTTTGCAGATTTTGTGTACCTCCCGCTTGGTTCACTTTCCTCCCAGCCATCCCCCCCCCTTACCACTCACTCCTCACTCCCTAGAGCATCCTCCGCCTGCTCCTCTCCCTCCTCCTCCCTCGTGTTGTGCGCACTCCTCTCCTCTCACTCCTGTGCTCCCTCTTCGTTGCCCACCTCTCTGAAGTCCACCCAGCCGTCCTTTCGCAGCGACGGTGAGCTCCTGGCCGCCCATGATGGGCTCTGTGCTCCCAGCTGAGGCCCTGGTGCTCAAAACAGGGCTGAAGGCTCCGGGGCTGGCGTTGGCAGAGGTCATCACCTCCGACATTCTGCACAGTTTCTTATATGGCCGATGGCGCAATGTGTTAGGCGAACAGCTGCTGGAGGACAAGAGCCACCACGCCAGCCCAAAGACCGCCTTCACCGCTGAAGTCCTGGCACAGTCCTTCTCAGGAGGTGAGTCGCGCCGTCGGGGCTCTTCTCCTTCCCTCTTCCTGTCTATCCCCAATTCTCAGGCTACCGGCGTGGTGGCCAGATAGGGAACACTGGGTTTGGGGCTCCTGCCCCCAATCGGGATGCTCTCCCTGATCAGCGCACCTTAGTTTTTCCGTGGATCAAACCCTGGCTGCAATAGCCACACCGCAGAGCGGAGGCAGCTAGGAACGCAGGGCGCTCTAGGACAAATCCCAGCGACCTGGACGACCGACCTCGGTCAGCTAGACTCTTCTGTGTCTTCTCTCCCCACCCCAGCCTCCACCCTGGAGGCTCTCGGTTTCCTGGCATTAAAAGCCTTACGGGGCGTGTAATAGCAGTTGACTCAAAAAGAACGGGTTTTAAATTCATTTGGTTAACTTGGGCTTGACCCGCGAAAGTTCCCACTTAAACCAAAAACTTTAAAAGACAGCCGGGGCGGGTAAGGGGCGGAGGGCGGGCAGGCCAGGAGAGAAAAAGCCGAAGAGAGCGAGGAAGAGAAAGAGCGAGGAAAGTTCCTTTTCTTTAAGATGTCTCAAGTTCTTATTCCTCATTCGTCACCCCACAAACAATATCTTTCCCCAGCGCTGGCGTCTCTGAGCGTCGTCCTCTCTTCCCCTTTAAGATTGCTGTTCCTCTCTTAATTTACCGTGAAGACTAATTCCACTTCCATTCACGCTATGTCAACCATCTAATCCTCCCTTTTTGTAAGGAGAATTCCTCGGCCCCTTTTAAACAAGTCCCCTCCGCATTGAGATACAATTTACTGCTACAGCTTTCTTCCAGGGCTAATGAATTTAGAATTAGCAATTTCTTTCGAATGGAGCCGAATGAATGCGATCACTTTAACAGCGTGACAAATTGCCGGCCGCTTCGCAATGGACACCGTTTAACCCCCCCTTTCAGCCGGCCGGCTCGCCGGGTATTTTCCCAGGTAGCTTAGAGGGGAACCTTGTAAGACAAGGAGGCCGCCCCTGTGCGCCTCGCCGCTCCCACCCCTGCTGCAGAGGCCCCACCGGGGATCCTCTGGGAGCTAGGGACCACTGGTTCTTCCTCGCCCAAAAGGCGACTTCAGAGCTCGCCTGATCCGGGTGCTGACCTCGCTGGCACTCTAGAACCTGGAGCGCAGTGGAACACCGGCGTGGCAGGGGGTGATGTCAGGAGAGCTGGGCTCAGTTTGCAGAAGCAAGTGTTTTTTTCTGCGAGGGTGCAACCTTCCGAGTTGGGGATCTGTCCTCAGTGCTGACCACGATCGGGAGACACGGGAGACACGCAGTGAGCCCAGAGGCAGCAATTGAACATCCAGGAACAAGGCTGAGTGAAGGAAGAGTCCCCGGGTTGGACGTTACCTCTTCGCCAGGCCCGGCCTCAGTTTCCCTGTCTGTAAACACAACGCGTTCGCACTGGTTCTTAAGCTTTTCTGCGATGGAAGGCGGTGTGAAGGCTGTGGATGTTTGCAGAATTTGTGTAAAGACTTGTAGAAATGAGCCCCAAGGACTGCTGAGACAGTTCGGCGGCAGAGCGCTACATGCGCAAGGCTTTGGCTTCGATCCCGAGTAACTCTCCGCCCAAAAGAGAAATAAATAAATCACGATGCACCGCTTACTTTTAGAAAGCACAGGGGGTCCTGGGTTGCAAAATAAGACTGAACCTCTGCACACAGGCCCCTATTGGAGATACTATAGCGCGCTACTGGAGATATTCGCCCCTATTGGGACTGCTTGTGCGCTGAGCAGGGAGAGCTGAGCAGGGAGAGCGTGTACTGGATGAGAAGGGTAGGGCCTTCTCTGAGCAAATATGACAGGGTTCCTATAACATCATCCCCCCCCCCCCCCCCCCCGCAGAGGTGCAGAAGCTGTCCAGCCTGGTGCTGCCGGTGGAAGTGATCATCGCTCAGAGTTCCATCCCAGGCGAGGGCCTTGGCATCTTCTCCAAGACGTGGATCAAGGCAGGCACGGAGATGGGGCCCTTCACCGGCCGTGTCATTGCCCCGGAGCACGTGGATCTCTGCAAGAACAACAATCTGATGTGGGAGGTAGGCCGGAGCTTTGGAGACGGATTCGGGTGGACAAGTGGGCTGGCTCCCTCGAGGGTTGTATCCACCGGTGTCAGAAAAGAGCCCTATCTGGCCCATAGCAGAGCTTCAGTTCTGGAGCTGTGGATGCTGTCCCTTTGAACACTCTCTAGGGTACCACTCTCCTGTTCTGTAGCTTTCTCTGCCAACGGTTCTTTCACTTTTGCCTGATTTGGAAAAATATCTGACCCTTCTGGCTTCCAAGCTTCCCAAGCAAGACTGTTAGCCACACTTCACTTGTGACAAGTGCTGAGATTCAGGGCGGCTGAGTGTAAGATTCAGGGGAGGTCTGGTGCAGACGCTGGGAAGAAGGGCTCTCCGGGCTTCTCCAAGCTACCCACATTCTTTCCCTGGCCTTAGAGGCAGCAAGGGTGGGTCTCCAGTGCTGGCCTATGGTGAAGTGTGGCTGGAGTAGAGGACAGTGGAAGCTGGGCATTTCTTGAGAATAGCTTTCCCAATCCCAGGTCTGGTGGCATCCAAAATAACCATGGCTGAAGGCTGAGTCAGCAGGCTTGTTCCCCAGCCTGCGGGCTGTGATGTGAGCTCATCTCCTCAGCCCTATGGATTATTATTCTCATTTTGCAGGAGGAAATGGGTATCTGAAAGGCTTCCATCTCTGACTTCTGATTCTATCCCACCTCTGACAGTGTCAGATGCCAGGGACACCCCCCTTTAGGACAAAGTTGGCCCAGTAGTAGCCCTCCTCCATCGCTCACCTCCTCCCCAGACCTGCACAGGCACAGTAGCCAGATGGTACACCTACTACTCAATCCCATTACATCCCCTGCTGCCACCCTAGCAGCCCCACCTGGCAGGAGATCAGTGTGATACCTGCAGCTGTTCAGAGGAACTGGAGGGAGAGAGCAGAGAGATGACCCGAGGCCTTGCCTTCTCCCTCCTTTGGATACCTAGTGGGTGTCTTCCAGCCTTTGCTCCATCAGGAACCTAGCGTGTGCTTTGAGCTCTGAGGACCCTTAGCTGTTAGCTTCACATAAGGGCTTAGACCAGGCCAAGAGCCCCTGGCGACCTAGATTTGCCTCTTAAGCTCTTGTTCCCTCTTTGAGGTTCTGCAGCAAACCTGGACAGGGAGCAGAAGAGCATGTCACCTGCTTAGGGATCTCGTGAGGACATTTCTCTTCTGGGGGTGGCAGATCCTTGTCATAGTAAGCATGTGGGTCCCTGAAGACTGACTCCTTATTTGCCCCTTGCCCCAGGCAAGTCACGGTGCCCGCTAACCTCGCTTTCCTGGATTGAACAGAATAGCTAACAAAAGCTTTAGCCACTTCCTGGAGCTGTTGGGAGAAAGGAGAATGTCTACAGATGGGTCTGGCCTGGGCCACACAGGCGGCACAGCCCTGTCTCACCCCACCACTGCTTCACTTGTGCCCAGGTATTCAACGAGGATGGCACAGTACGCTACTTCATCGATGCCAGCCAGGAAGACCACCGAAGCTGGATGACCTACATCAAGTGTGCCCGGAATGAGCAGGAGCAGAACCTGGAGGTGGTCCAGATTGGCACCAGCATCTTCTATAAGGCCATCGAGGTACGCACAGGGACAGATGGAGATGTGTCACAGGGTGAGGAGTGTGCAAAAGCAGTTGTGTTCTGTGGCCAAAGAAGACAGAAGGACTTTGGTCCTGGCCCAACTGGCTCTGCCTGGGCTCAGAACCGAGGCTTGTTGTGCTGTGATTGCCAGGAGTATGCCCTGTATGGGAAGCTTGTTGTGCTGTGATTGCCAGGAGTATGCCCTGTATGGGAAGCTTGTGATATAGCTGGGAGAAGACGGAGCTTGAACATGTGGTGAATATCTTGGACACAGAGGAGAGTGTGCAGGGGTTCAGAAGGTAGAATAATGTAGCAGAACACCAAGTGGAAGCAGACTGGGGCTGCATTTGGCTCTGATAAAGGACGTATGTCCATGGAGGTTTAGCTGTGTGTCATCTCTCATTCTGCAGACATGGGGCCAGTGGTGTGTGGCTCAACAATAGCTCCCTGTGTCAGGTCTCCCACGTGCTGACCCTCACACAAGGAGAATCTTGAGTTTATGAACACAGAAACCTGTCGTTGCTTGGTGGCCTAGAGCTCTGAACACCGCCCCCCCACACATGTTACTGAGGAAAGGAGTCTCAAGTTCAGACTCATTGAAGTTGCTCTCTAACCTCGAAGAGCCACCAAGCCCCTGACCCGCCCCACTACCAAGGGACTTCCAAAACAAGTTAGCAAAAGTGCAAACTCTAGGAAAATGCAGTGGGACAGCCCTGCTACCTCTCACAGCATTTAGACAACTTCCCACATCTAGGCCAGGGCAAGACACAGCCAAGCTGCATGCCAAGAGATCCTGTTCAAGGAATCCTGCAGTTGTGCCCCCATTCCCCCACCTTGCCTTGGCTCCCACTGCTCCCTCCCTCACCACCTCCCCAGATGCCTTTAGCTTTTCTGTCTCTGTCAGGTATCTCCTACCTTCAGGACTACCCCCCTTTTCTCCCAAGGCCTTGGCCCTGGTTCCACTTTTGTCCACTTTAGAAGGCTCCCACACATCATGCTCTCTAGCCTGTCCAGGCCTGCTAGCTTCTTGGACTTGAGTCTTATTGTTCCAGAATGACCAGACCTTTGGGACTTTGACAGGGATGGTGGCAGAATAAACTTTATCTAGGTTTTGTATGGCCAGGGCCTGGGTCACAACAGAATGTTAGCCCAAGGAAGACCAACCAGGAAGCAGAGAGTACGGAAAGACAAGCAGGTCTGCCCCTGGAGTTCGGAAATGCTAGGAGGGCTGAGGAGTGTCAGCTTAGTACCAGAAGTAGCTCAGGCAGGACCAGCATGACTCCTGTGGCCATCCAGCTGTATTGCTACCTTCTAGAATTGGCTTTTGGTGCAGCTGAACATTCTCATAGCAAAGTGCATCCTCTTGCGTTCTCACCCTTCTGGCTCTCTTCTGCATACCTTTATACCCACATATACACACACCTGTACACACATATATACACAAACACACATGCACACACACAAACACACACACTCATACATGCACAGATTCACACACACACGCACATGCACATGGACACAGACACAGGAGGCTGGCCAAGAATACCTATATCTTGTTGGCACTTGGGCTCAAAGCTGGAGCAAACAGATGGCCTGCATCCCATCATATCAGACACATTAGACTGGTGGGAATCGAAGTCAGAGCAGGACATGTGAATGATATTTATCCAGAAGTATGATTCAGGGGACAAGGAGGGTAAGGAATATTTCTAGAGAGGGATTACAATTTGTATGATTAGGAGAAAAAGTTCATCTATGTTTAACAGAAATTTAAGTTTATGAAAGAATGGACCATACACATACATCTTTGTGGCACACACATTATCCCACATATGATGTATCTGTCATACATATGCTTCCCACATGAATCACAGTGTTTAGAGAGAACTATCCAGCTAAGAAGGGGCTGTTAAGTAAGGCACAAGGAAACACAAGACAATTTCAAATTACTTTTATTTAATTTTTTTTGTTTTTTTTTTTGCCGGGTGGTAGTGGCATATGCTTTTAATCTCAGCACTTGAGAGGCAGAAGCAGGGTCTTACTAGGTAGTCCTAGCTGTCCTGGAACTCACCATGAAGACAGGCTGACCTCAAACTCACAGAGATCCACCCAGCTCATTCTCCAGAGTGCTGGGATCAAAGGCATTCACTACTCTATCTGGTTCAAAATTACTTTTCGTAAATGAAGCTGGATACATTTTTTTCATAGCAACAATTCTCTCAAATCATTTTCTAACAGTGTCAGAATTCTACTTGTAGTTCCGGGTATGACCAGACATATTTCTGCTCACCCAGGCGGCTCCTGGGAAGTCTTGAATAATCATCTGTTTGTTCTGTGTGTGTGTGTGAAGAGGGAGCTGTTAGCCAAGAGAGGGACCTTTGCCATGATCTGTTTATTTGGTCTTCCTGCCACTCAGAAGCAGTATTTATATTTCATAACAGTAACCCATTGCTTGCCAAAACGGAGGGGGTAAATGCCTCTCTTCAGTAGGAAGAATACTCGATTGCTGCTATAGAACATTCCACAAAGATAATGTTATGGATCACTTAAATGGAGACAGAGGTGATTGGGTTTGGAAACTCAGGCCAACACTCAAGTTCTGCTACAAATTCTGCATTCCAAGTTGGGGTGACTTGGGGAGAGGGCGTTCAGCCTTCTGGTTTTGCTTCTGCGTGGACACTAACTCAATCGTGCCTCAGGTGCCTCAAACCACATTTCTTGGCAGCACCCAGCAAAAAACAAGGGTATACTAAATATTAATAATACATCTTTCTCTGGGTGATGGGTGTCCATAGGGACCCACCTCTTCCAGGAAAACAAAACTGACTCGCCAAGGAAGCAAGAGACCATGGCAAGGGAGGGCTTGAGGAGTCTGTTATCACACTAACCAAACACCCCCATCTGGGTGTTTTACAATGGGAAGAAAACCCCCAGTCTCTCCTGCTTCTGCTTCATTGTATTGTATTGGCAAATGATTGCCCTGAAATGTGGGCCTTCTCGTTTCTTCTAGTTTCGGGGCTGCTGCGTCTTTTATTTTTCTTAGGTCCTCATCTCTTTTCTCAACTCAGAGGACAAGCACCATTTTCCTTGTGACCTTGCTCGGTAGTGGCTCTGACGATTACCATCACTAGTGACCAGCGCCACTAATGATGCTTCCCGGAGCACTTCTCACGCCCCGACACTACACCGACAGTATTTCCAAAGGGCCTTAGCAACTTCTTGCTTTTGTAGTGGGGACTGAACCCAGTGCGTATTTTGCTTTTTCTCATGGTTCCATGGGCGGAACCCAGGGCCCTATACATAGCGAATAGGTCCTCTATTCCTGAGCCTCGTTACAGCTCCTGTCCCCATTTTAAGGATGAAGAAATGAAGGTCCAAGCTTGGGGAGACTCTGATTGAACGCCAGCCTATCTGCTGCAGAGCTAAAGTGTGGCTGGCCATGCTGTGTGGCCTCCCGGGCCAGCATATTCTTGTTGGGGCTCTATTAATTGTTGTGTCATGACATCTGCGCACAATGGAAACGGATGATCATCCAGATGACACCGAGATGCTTCTGTGTCGCTCCGGGAAAGGGCAATGTCAGAGCCTCCCGGGAGCGTGCTCAATGGGGTGTCATGAATTTGTATTAAGAAGGCAAACCTGAAAGCCTGTCATTGCCCTTCTGTCGTTGAAATGGGCGGTAGGACTAGCGTTAAGGAGCGACTGTTAGGAACTAGCTACGGGGTCATGAGGCTTGACAGCAAGAATCAGGTAATGGGCCTGACAGAGAGGGTTTCACCAAATGGGGATCAGTTCCTTTGGGGACTGCTTGCTTCGTGGCATGTCCAGACCAGAAACTTGAGTGACCAGCTGATCTGGGTTCTCAGCCCTTCTAGTCTGGACCAGCTGCACTCAGTAGGAGCAGTGCTGAGAGGCCTGCAGGGGCTGTGGCCTTTCAATGCACTGATGCGGTCTGTGCACAGACTTTCAGGGTCTCAGAAAAGAGGGTGCAAGTTCTGGAGGATCCTGGGCTCCAACACATCAGACACACATTCAGACACCCCCCAACACATGTCCACAGGCTTCACTTTTCAGGTTGAAAAAAAAATTAATTTTAGTATTTAGTAAGTGGAGACCAGAGGCAGGGGGTTCCAGGTTCTCAAGGTCAAAGCAACACTTAGTCCTTTTTCTCTGTGAAGGGGACTTGGGGGCTGCTCATAGCCTTCGTCTGTCTGGGGATGTTTCATTCCCAGCTCCAGCGCATTCTCCTTAGCGGGTTTCCTTTCCTGAAAAGTCTTAGGATTGTTGTCGCTCGTTTTCTTTTTTCAAGACAGGGTTTCTCTGTGCAGCCCTGGCTGTCCTGGAACTCGCTCTATAGCCTTGAACCTGTGTGCTGGGATTAAAGGCGTGTGTCACCATGCCTGGCTTATACAAGCTCATTTCTAAAGTAGATCTTGTTAAACCAGAAGTCATACTGTTTTTTTATATTTCTCTCTTAAAGCCTAAATCTGCATTTTTTTCAAAGTCTCAAAATGACTCGTTTTGGGGGAAACACTCCCAGAGGGGCAGAGGCAACAGTTGGCATGGGGTCAGAAGAGAGAGAGACTCACCATTATGGTGAATGGCATTACTGGGGGCACAGTTAGACCCGTATTCCCGTGGAGTTTCATTTTTTTAAAGCTGAATAAAAAAATAAGTTTAGTATTTATTCATTAAATTTAAAAGTATTTATTTTATTATACGTGTATGCATATTTTGCATGCATGTATGTATATGCACACATGTGTGCCTGTAGTCCATGGAGACAAGGAGAGGGTGTTAGATCCCCTGGACCCGGGAGTCACTGATGGTTGTGTGTTACCGCACAAGTCCCCTGGAAGAGCAGCCAGTGCTTTTAACTGCCGAGTCGCTATTCTAGGGCCTACTTATTTATTTTGGAGGCACACAGTCTCACATAGCCCAGGCTGGTCTTGAGACCAGCCACTCACTATCTAGACGAAGAGGGTCTCTTGAACTTCTGATCTCCTGCCTCTACCCCCCTCAGCGCTGGGTTTACAAGCTCGAGTGGAGCTGAGCTCCAAACCCGGAGCTTCATACGCCCCAAGTAAGCACTCCACCTACTGAGGCACGGCCCCAGCCCATGCCTGTGCTTAGTCCCAGGTGAACTTTCACCCAGCAACGGCCCAGGGCTTTATTACAGTGACTCAAAGTGCCCAGATCACTGCTAGTTCCTCTGGGGATTTGGCAAGCTAGGAAAACAGTGAATGAGCAGCAATTCCACAGCTTTGTAGTACAGCAGGCTTTGTGTCTGTGGTCCTGTCTCCCAGCAGCTCTCAGGGAGGCCTGTAAAATAGGGACGGCTGTGCTCTACCATAGAGAGAACTGAGGCCAAGAGACACACTTGTGTGCTTGGCGGGTACAGAGCCTGAGTGATCCCAACAGCCCCGACTCCAGGACTGAGCAGGGCCCTCTGTAGCTGTCTCCTACAGCGTGTGTGCAGGTGACCTAGAGGCCGCCTTCAAGGGATATACAAGTCAGTCACACAGGGACCTGGGGACGCGAGATCTGTCTTGAACAATAGTCTCTTTCCGAATCCATATCTTTAAAAGCAAACAAAAACCCTCAATCGATATTTAAATACTCGAATTCCATCATCCGCATCTTTGAGGGCTCCACAGACCTTTCTTCCCTCCTCTTCAAGGAGAGGCCTCCAGCTCTGGCCCTCGGTCTTGGATGGTTTGGATGGTGACCATGACGGTGATGAGATGCTGAAGGACTTACGCTCTAGGGTCAGGTTCCAAGCTGCCTGTTATCTTTGAGACCCTGTGTCGTCTTGCTTGTGTTTAGAAAGACGCATACTTGTTTTCCATATTTAACGCTCCTGGGCTGCTGTGAGGCCAGGGGCTATGGGTTGGTGTGAAGGGACGTGGTGACATTAGGCTGAGTCTCTGTAGGGAAACAGCAGTCAAGACACCTGTAGCTTCCTGGCCTCCCCTCCTGTCACAGCTCGCTCTCCTTTTGGAGACTGGTGGATGGTCTGGGGACTCTTGTGGGTTCCCTCCATGGAAGGTGGACCCGACACTCTCTGGCTCACATGGAAGGGGAGAAACTCTCCCTGACCACTACTCTGGGGTGACTCCAGACACTCAAGGGTGGAATGCCATGTGATTTTTCTTTGTGCGTACATGTGTATATACTTATTTTGTGTATGTATGCTTGTATTGTGTGTGTAATGCTTGTGGTTTTGTGTATGTTTGCTTGTGTTGTGTGTGTATATGCTTGTGTTGTGTTGTGTGTGTATAGGCTTGTGTTCTTCTGTGTGTATGTTTGTGTTGTGTGTGTTTGCTTGTGTTTTGTTGTGTGTATATGCTTATGTTGTGTGTGCATGTGTATATATATTTGTGTTGTGGATATGCGTATGGTGTATGGTTGTGTTGTATGCTGTGTGTATACTGTGTTGTGTGTATGTACTAGTGTGTGGAAACCAGACATCAACCTCAGGCGCTGTTGCCCAGACACCTTGTTTCTTGAGACAAGATCTCTCGCTGGCTTAGGGCCTGGCAATTAGTCTAGACTGACTGGCCAGCAAACTCTAGGGATCCGTCTCCCCTGGGATTATAAGTGTACACCACCAAGCCTAACTTTTCCAGACAGGCCCTCATGGGCTTACAAGGCAAATATTTCCTAACTGGGCTATCTCCCCAGTCCTCCCTCATACGGTCTCCTGTGCTTCCGCTAAAAGAGAAGCCAATGAGGACCAAGGCAAAGTTGTTAGGCGCTGTCTGAGTTTCCCTGGACACTTCACACAGTGACCTCCAGTATCTATGGTCAGCATTATGGAGGGCCAGGCCGGCCTCTGGAGAGAGACAGGCTGTCTCTCTGTTTGTCCGTCTTGGCTGAGGTCCAGAGAGCAGGTCCCTTGGATAGTCGCCTCATGCTCCCTTGGTTAGTAGCCCTCATGTCATCATTCTCTTAAGAGCAGCAAAGTCTGGCTGGTCATGAGCTCTGGGTTTCTTTCTTTTTCCTCTTTTCTTTTCTTTTTCTCTGTGTATCCCTGACTGTTCTGGAACTCACTCTGTAGACAGCCTGACTTCAAACTCACAGAGATCCGCCTGCCTCTGCCTCTGCCTCCGAAATGTTGGTATGAAATCCATGTGCTCCTACCACTGGGCTGCTCTGGGTTTCTTGATGACGGGCCTAGGACACGGAAAAGCATTTTGTTTAAGGCTGTGCGGTGTTTCCAGAGGTGAAGGTGTTTGTCAATCCCAAGGTTTCTTTCTTAGCACCTGTCACACGCATTGAGTCCTGCAGGGAGCCCTGTGCTGGGAAGAGAACCACGTGTGACTCCATGCTGCCTCAGGCGCTTGGGATAAGAGCTGCTTCTGGAATATTATCAGGCGGGGTGAAGCCACAGGGTACCTACAGTCTACACTCCTTAGAAACATCTGGCTCAGTCTGATGACCCTGAGGGCTGGCTGACTCTAATTCCCCTGGACTAAAAAGAAGAAGAAAAGAAAATTTTTTTAGGTTTTCTGCTTGTCAGGCTTACTCCTCTTCCTTTGGAGACAGTTTCATGTGTTACAGGTTGTTCTCAAGATGTCTACATGGTCAGGGAGGACCTTGAACTTCTGACAGTCCTGCCTCCAGCCCGAGTACTGGGGATGGCACTGACTACCAGGCTGTTTCACACAGACCTGGGGATCTAGTCCAGGCCTTTGTGTGTGTTAAGCAAGCCTTCTAGCAACTGAGCTATTTTCCACCCCTGAGCTCTTTTCCTTTTGTTTTCTTGCGGTATGGTGAGTTTGCATCACGGCAGCAGCCTGCCTCTGCTGCCAAACAGTTACGTCATCACCCGTCGCCAGGTGCTTTTCCATTATCAGCTGCGCAGCATGTGCACCCCTTAAAAGTGCCCCCCAGGCACAGCTTACTCTCTTGCCTCTCTTCTTTCTTCCCTGTCTGTCTGTCTGTCTGCCTGCCTCTCTCATGTCCCCACTCTGACATGGCCTTTCACTCTCTCCCTCCCCTTCTCCCAGTAATCCTCTTGCACTAACTCTGTTGCACGTGATATGTTTGCTTAGTGGCCCCACTGAATGGTACCCTCTTCACCTTTCTTTTTTATTTGTCATTACAGTTATCGATTTGGATCCTTTTGTGTGAAGCTAGGACAGAAATGATAAAATGACCTGGGCAAAGAGAGGAAGACCGAGGGGACAATGTCCTGGGGCCTTCAATAGCTATACAGCGTGTCTGGGATAGCTCAGTGGGATAGCCCCAGCTTTGATTTCTCAGGGCTGGGTATGCAGAGACCCCTGCCTCCTGCTGGCAGCTGCCACCTCCTTGATCTCCTTTTGCTTCTCTCCCTGCAGATGATCCCTCCGGACCAGGAGCTGCTGGTGTGGTATGGAAATTCCCACAACACCTTCCTGGGCATCCCTGGTGTGCCAGGCCTGGAAGAGGAGCAGAAGAAAAACAAGCATGGTAGGTATTCCCCCATGGGGTCATGGTGACAATGCTCAAGGAGGGGAGTGCTAGGGGACAGGGAACCTTCTGGTCTCTGAGGACCCTGCTTCAACCTCCAGTGGCATTATACACATGGGATCTACTGGTCAAATAAGGCCACTTCTTCCAGAGCAGCTGGCACAGGCTGAGCACAGAAAAGGCAGTCTTGCTTTCTGGACCAGATCGGTTGTCGGCAGGCAGAGATGGGCAAACTCCAGAAAGGTGATGGGGTGTCTGGAGTGCTGGATAGAACAGCAGGACCACATACTGGTTTCAAGTCTGCTGTATGGTGTCGAGATTGGTTTTGTGCCTCAGCTTCCTCATCTGGAAAGAGAAGGCCTGGGGTGAAGGCATCTCTGTGTCCCCTCTTAGCTCTGTCCAGGTCCTAGTGTAGGGCCTGGCATCAAGCAGCTGCATGGCTTGTGTTCTGAAGAGGTATAGCAGGCAGAACGAGCCCATGTGTCTTGAGATGGCTCATCACAGTAGAAGCCACTGGCTCAAGACCCGTGTCCTTTTTGGTACTGTGTGAATGAAACCTTTCAGGGCTCTACAAAACTCTCAGGACATTTTTTTTTAAAGGTAGTGTGTCTCGTGTATCCCAGGCTGGCCTCCCAACTCATTCTGTAGCTAAGGGTGACCTTGAACTTGATTCTCCTGCCTCCACTTCCAATGTTGAGATCAAAGGAGTGTGTCATTATGCCCTATTATTAATTCGTTCATTTCTTTGTTTTTAAGAGAAGCAAGCCAGGCATGCTAGTGCACACCTTTACTCCTAGGAGGCAGAGGCAGGCAGCTCTCTGAGTTCAAGGCCAGCCTGGTCTACAGAGCAAGTTACACAGGGAAACCCCGTCTAAAAATACGGCAAAAAAAAAAAAAAGGAAGAAAGGAAGAAAGAAAGAAAGAAAGAGAGAAAGAAAGAAAAGAAAGAGCAGCCCAAGGATCACGGGCTAGTGTCTACAGAGCATGTCCCTGAGTGCTCTTTGCGTCCACTTGGAATGAGAAAATGGGCAAACAGTAGTTCCCAGGTACACTGAGTCCTCCGTGAATGTTTGTGAGCGAGTAGATGAGAGGGCTTTTTAGGGTTGCTATAGTTGCAATCCTTTATGTGTAGCCTATTAGGACCCAGGCATTTCTCACATTACAGCTAAACATAGCGAAAATTTTTCTGTTGACTTTAGTTTGCGAGTTTCTAATAAACTCGCAAAATCCTACTAGCCCCTAGTGGTCCTACGAGACCTTTAAACAAACAAAAAACTTCATTTTTACATTTTACATATTTTGTGTGCATCTAGGCATGCCTGCCACTGCGCGCCTGTGGAGGTTAGAGGCCACTAGTGAGAGTCAGTTCTCTCCTTCACCACGTGGGTCCACGGAATCCAAATCTGGTCACCAGGCTCCACCTACCCCACCTGACACTACCCCACCTTTTGCTTTGTGAGACAGGGTCTCTGCACATAGTCCTGGCTGGTCTGGATCTCAGAGATCCGCTTGCCTCTACCTACCCGGACTGCCTCCCGTTTTTCAGATGAGAAAGCTAAGGTTTCCTGGGGCCATGTCACCAAGTCCTCCCAGGTTGGGTCCTGGTGCAATGTAACTGCTATTAGACCACAGTCACTGCCCCGCGGCGCCCTCGGGGCTGTGTGGCCCACTATCTTCAAGGGAGTGAGTACACGGGGCCCGGGAGCAGCCGGCGTGGGTGCTAATCGGGCTGCTCTCTTTCCCTCCCGCCTGCGCCGTGGGTCCCGCGTTCCGCCCGCGCGCTGCCAGAGGACTTCCACCCGGCGGACTCCGCGACCGGCACCGCGGGCCGCATGCGCTGCGTCATCTGCCACCGAGGTTTCAACTCCCGCAGCAACCTGCGCTCGCACATGCGCATCCACACGCTGGACAAGCCCTTCGTGTGCCGCTTCTGCAACCGCCGCTTCAGCCAGTCGTCCACGCTGCGCAACCACGTGCGCCTGCACACGGGCGAGCGCCCCTATAAGTGCCAGGTGTGCCAGAGCGCCTACTCGCAGCTGGCCGGCCTGCGCGCGCACCAGAAGAGCGCGCGCCACCGGCCGCCCAGCGCCGCGCTGCAGGCACACTCGCCCGCACTGCCCGCGCCCCATGCGCACGCGCCCGCGCTCGCCGCCGCCGCCGCAGCAGCAGCCGCGGCGCACCACCTGCCGGCCATGGTGCTGTGAGCGCCGCGCACGCGCCCCACGCGCACGCGCCTCCCCGCCGCCGCTGCGGTGGACCTGACCCCCGCGTCGGGCGCCACCGAGGCGCCTGCTACCCGGAACCCACTTCTGATACATCTCGCAGAGGAAGATGCAGAGGGGCGACGTCCTCTGGCCAGGCCACCCGGCTGGTGTGGCTGCCCTGTGGCCTCTTCTTGGGAGCAGGTCCACACGTCCGGTCCCAACCCGTAGTCTCCCTCCTGCAGGACCGCGCCCCCACGCGAACATCTCTCTCGTGGATGACAGGAGAGGGACAGACGATCTCCAAAGAGAGCTTAGTACTTGGGAGTGGAAGGGAAAGCCACCTCCTTGGTCCGGGGTGGGCCGTGCCCATCTCTGCCCCCTTGGAATGGTGTCTTGATGTGTCGCGAGTGGAGAGAACTTCGGTGACAGTTGGCAGCGATTTGGGCTGAAAGGCTAGATTAGCACATACCCGGAGAGACCTGCTCGTCCTGGTCCCTGCTTTTTCATCAGGCTACTTTCCCCAGTACCCGGCTCGCAGGGAAGGACAGACGCCAATATGCTCTGAAGTGTGCTGGGCAAACTGATAGTGAAGACACAAGGAACATTCACCATAGCCCCTGGGCAAGACCCTGTCCCTTTTGGAGCCTCAGTTTCCCCATCTGTAGAATGCGGGAGTTAGACCAGGTAGACCCCTCTTAAGCTGTGCTGTCTTCGAGTTTAGGAATGGAGAGGCACCCTCAACCCTATTAAGCATCCAAACAAGAGAATGATCGACCATACAGGGCCGTCTGAAGCCGAGGTTGGCTTCTCTGTCTAGAAAGCCCTCTGAGGCGCTTGGGTGGCCCAGGGTTCGTCCCCGTAGGCCCACACTGCCAAACGCCCCTGTCCAAGCCTTTGCCTGCTCCGACCGTGGGCGCCCTCTGCTGTCACCTCAAACCTTGTCATTTACCAGAATCATTCCCCCCATCCCCCCCCAACACACTCCTTCCGCACACAGGGGCGTTTGTAAAATTAAAAACAAAACACAAAACTATAATAATATTAACAAAAGTATAAAATGTATAGAGTTTTCAAAAAAGTGTGTTCTACTCCCAGAAAATGGTCACTTTAACTTTGTAAATGTTTATCTAAGATGATATTTACGAAACTGTGATATATATTATTTGATTGTATATGTACAACTGTAAATACATTTGTACTTCTCTTGTATTCTAAAATAAAAATTACTTGGAACATGTATCATTTGGCCCCTGAATGGGTGCACACTCCTGAGACTTTTGGAAAGTGGGGAGAGGATGGAAATGGCTGTAGTAGCTGTTCCTCTACTGCTGAAATCCACTGTGCCCTCTGTAAGGAAAATCCGGTCCCTAAGAGAAGCCACGGTGCTGAGCGTGTGGAACCCAGAAGGAGCAGGAGAGAATTCTCGTGGTTTAGCTGGCTACAGTACAGGTTCCCCAAGGTATAATTTACTCACCTATACTTAGAAGTTTTTGTTCTCATTACCAACTTGGAGAGGTTTCAGGAGGCGGGGGTGGGGAGGGGGTACCAGGATCACCAAGCAATTCACCACACCCATTTCCAGGTTCAGTGTCCTATACTGGGACAGCAGTAACAAAAACAACTTAAGGAAGACTATTTATCTCGGTAGAAGGTATACTACACAAAGGCAGGGAAGTTAAAACAGCAGGAGCCTCAAGCAGCTGGTCACATCCAGAAGGGAGGAAAGAATGAAGGCGTTGTCGCTTGGTCCCTTCCTCCATCCAGGATCTGGGTCAGGGAGCAGCCCCATCTGCAGGAAGCTGGTCCTTCTGCCTCCATTAATGCTCATAGTGATCCCCCACAGGCATGCTCAGCTGCCCTTCTCCCAGGTGATTCTGGATCATGTCAGGTTGACAGCACTAACATACCTTAATGAAGGTCACAGAGCAGGAAGGTGCCAGAACGAGACTTCCAAGAAATCTTTTTTTTTAAATTTATTTATTTATTAAAGATTTCTGTCTCTTCCCCGCCACCGCCTCCCATTTCCCTCCCCCTCCCCCAATTAAGTCCCCCCCCCCCTCAAGAACAATGGCAATGGGTTTCTGATCCTACTGCACGCACTGGCTTTGTGGGAGCCTAGGCAGTTTGGATGCTCAACTTACTAGACCTGGATGGAGGTGGGGGTTCCTTGGACTTCCCACAGGACAGGGAACCCTGACTGCTTTTCGGGCTATTTAAACAGCAAGCTATTTCGCTCTCTGTAGGTAACGCTGTTGGGCTCCAGAACCCACCTGGTGGCAATGTACTGCAGTTGCAGCCACAGACGCCTCAGACCTGGGCACAGGCTAGACTGCTTTTGCAGAGGTGTGAAAACGGCCTGGCCACTGGGATGCAAAGATAAAGGAATGTGGACTGTGATCCCGAGGAGTTTGCACACTAGGTGGAGGTCTGCACGGAAATGCTTCACACCTTACACCCCCAGCAGAAACCTCCAGCCCCTTTCTCCAAGAGCACAACCCCCTACAAAGGCATGCAGCACATTTGTCTGTGAACTAGTCCCATGGTTAGACACTCGAACCTGTGCATCCTGGGAGTGTTCCCCACACACTGATGAGCTGAGTCCCCTCTCCCCTTTCCAAGTGCCCTTTTATTTGATGTCCGTGTGAACCATGTGCCGGTGTCATTCAGCCAAGGAGCAGCAAGGCAGGGTTTCAGCTCAGGTGTCTGACCTCAAAGGTCATGATCCTGACAGTCAGGCCACAGAATAAAGGTCAACTTGTGAATTCAGTCCAAAGGGCTTAGTTCACATCTCACAAGGACACAATGTACTTTGACTTTGTATTGATTTTGACCTCTGGTTTTTGTGAGTTTTGTGCCCATCCCCCTCCGAGCTTCAGAGAGCATCATTGACCTTTCTCCCTCCAAACCTATTGTATACTCCCCTAACTTCAGCTCTCTTGAATGGAGAACCAGAACCTGGGGTGTTCCCCTTAAACTGGCCTCTTGGGATACATCTGCTGGAGAGCAGAGAAGGTTGTAGACAGAGGCTGGCATTGTTGGAACCCAGGACCTGCATGTGATTGACCAAGCACTCAGCACTCAGTCACTAAATGACACCCAGCCCTACCATGTGTCTTAAAACTATGAAACCCATGTAATCTTTCTAGTACCTTGTGTATTCCCTAGGGCAATTTCTAGGTTCTGCTATGTTGCATGTGAATGAAAACATTTTTCATTTCTTCCCTTATAATTGGTTTTGTTTATTTATTATTATTACTTATTTATTTATTTTGGTTTTTCAAGACAGGGCTTTTCTGTGTAGCCTTGGCTGTCTTGGAACCTACCCTGTAGACCAAGCTGGTTTTGAAATCACAGAGATCTGCCTGCCTCTGCCTTCTGAGTGCTGGGATTAAAGGTGTGCGCCACCATGCCTGACTAAAAGAAAGAATTTAACTGGGGCTTGTTGACAGTTGTAGAGGTTATTCCGTGATCACTGTGCTGGGAAGTAGACAGGCATGGTGCCTGGAGCTGAGAGCTTTACATCCTGACCCACAGGCAGCAGGCAGAGCAAGACAATGGGCCTGGTGTGGGCTTTAAAAACCTCATAGCTAGGCGGTGATGGCACAGGCCTTTAATCCCAGCACTCGAGAGGTAGAGGCAGGCAGATCTCAGTGAGTTTGAGGCCAGCCTGGTCTACAAGAGCTAGCTCCAGGTCAAGCTCTAAAAACCCCCAAAGCTCACTTTCAGTGAAGCACCTCTGTCAACAAGGCCACACCTCCTAATCCTTCCCAGTTCATCAGCTGGGGACCAGGCACTCAAATCTAAGCCTATGGGAGGGGCATTCTCATTCAAACCACCACATGCTTCCAGAATGTTTTTATTTTTTTTATTGTAGAATGCTTTTCATTGCTTTCTTTCTTTTTCTGGTTTTTGAGACAGGGTCTTCTCTATATCTCATGCTAGTGTTAAACTCACTATATAGCCCAGGCTGGCTTTGGACTCAAAGCAATCCCCCTGCCTCAGCTGAGGAGACTGTCACATGTCCCCAAGCACTGCATGTTCTCTCTGCTTTGGTGTTAGGTAAGCGTTCCCCTCCTTCCATTTTCATAGCAACAGGACCAAGCCTCAGGGACCACACACATGGGATAACTTTAATCACTCCCAAACTGACCCGTATTCTATTTTTTCTTGCTCAGGAATCTAGTAGCTGAGGATTCTAGATAGAGGGCAATGGTCTGAGTCTGAAACCCCACTCAGCCATTTACTAGCTGTGTGATTTGAGGCAATGAACAAACAACTCTGTGCCTCAGGCTCCTCACATAGAACTGAGGGTGATTCTTAGCTCTAAGGAGCATACTAGGTAACAACTATAAACAAACACAGTACATGGGTGTGTGCCTGGCACATAGAAGGCACTCAGCAGATACAAGGATGTCTTTGGCAGGTGAGTGGGGTTGTACCCTAGCACATTCTCCAGAAAGCATGCTTTAATCTCTCCGTCAACCCTTGCCTAGACTCTACTCTCAGATCTCCTGAACTAGAGGAGCAGATACCGAGTGAGCCTCGGAGCTGGCCTGCTGGGACACAAGTCTGTGCATGGGTGTAGAAAGTTCCGGACAACAGTTGGCAAGTTGCCATGCCTGACTACTTCCTTACGTCATGGCCGTCTCAAGGGAGTCTGGCTTCTTCCATGTCCCTTCAGAGCTTCAGAAGCAAGAATTCCAGGAGGGTAGGGGAGGCTGCATGGGCTGTCCTGGCTGGGCTTTTGCTAACCCAGAGGCATTTCTGACATATTCCTTAAGAGAGGCAGGCCCAGGCCCAGCACATACAAGGAGAGGGACTGAAGAACTCTGGAACTGTGATGTTCATGGTCCTGCTTAAAAACACCGAGGAAAGCTAAGATGGGGGCTGGGTGGATGAGATGGTTCGGCAGCAACAGGTTTACATACAAGCTGACAATTTGAGTTCAGTCCCCAGGAATCACAAGATGGCTGGAGAGAACAGACTTCCTGATGTCGTCT